AGAACAGAGAGTGTGAAAAACAGGGGGCCAACAGTTCCCATGACTGAAGGCCCCAAGCCATGCTTCTCTGAGTATTTACTTAGAATCATAAGGAAGGTAAACAAAGTAAAATCATAATGAAGTAAAAAACAAAAACAAAGGATAATGGTGAAGTCTTTTACAGATACGGCCACAGTTCCTCTTTATGCTAATCTCAGAAGGGAGGGATTAAATTGATACAAACTAAGAACAATGTTGACTCTTTTTATTTTATTTTATTTTTTTAATGTTGACTCTTAGGGAACACCTTAGTGCCACAAGGTGACCTTCTGCTTGTATTAAGCCTCCCTCATTTCCTGAGATAGCATTTGGTCTACTATTAGTAAATTTGATATTCGGCTTCCCTCAGGAAGAGTTCCCATTCCCCAAACAGGTGAGCCAACAGAATGTAGAAATATCAAACCATGTCATTATCACATGCAAGCAAGGCCTTGCTTGGTTAGGTGCCATCAGGTCAAGTATGTCTCATAGTGATCCTATGAAATCCTGCTGAAGAGTAATAAAAAATGACTAGAACATCAACAGTGAATGGCCAGAAATTCAAGCTGGATTTAGATGAGTCCATGGCACAAGAGGGTATCACTGATGTCAGCTGGATCTTGACTGAAGCAGAAAATAAAAGAAAGATATTTATTTGCGTATATTGATTATGGGACACTGAAAAGAATAGGAGTCATCTTACTGTTAAGAAGACAAAGATCCTTACCACAGGAGTGATGGGTACCGTCATGATGGACGGAGAGGAGACTGAAACTGTCAACAGCTTCATCTTGCTTGGATCCACAGTTAACATCCTTGGTACCAGCAGTCAGGAAGTCAGGAGACACATTACACTGGGAAAATCTGCAGTTAGGAACCTCTCCACATTATTGAGGAGTAATGATGTCAGTTTGAGGACTAAGGTGCATCTGATTCAGGCCATAGTCTTTCTGATCACTTGTGATGTGTCTGAGCTGGACAGTGAAAAAGGATGACAGAGAATTGATGCTTGCGAGCTGTGTTGTTGGAGAAGAGCACTGACCATCCCATGGATGGCCAGAAGGACAAACCAGTAGGTCTTGTAGAATGTCCACCTGGAGGGCTCTTTGGAGGCAAGAATGATGAAGCTTCTCACATCCTTGGGGCATGTTGCTAGGACAGGGCTGTTCCTTGGAGAGGGACATGATGCTGGGAAGGGTGGAGGGTCGGCGAAGGAGAGGAAGACCCTCAACCAGGTGAACTGATAACGGTGACTGCTGCACTGGGCTCTTGTGTATCAGGAAGTGTGAGGATGGCTCAGGATGGAAAAGGGGAGACCTTTTGTTCCTAGGATCACTATATGTCGTACTTGACTCGATGCCAACTAACAACCACAATGACAAAAGCATTTGGTAATGTGGATCAATACAAACTATGGCTAATACTGGAAAGGATGACCATCCATGAAGGCGTAATTGTGTTCATGTGAAGTCTATACCAAGACCAGGAAACGGTTGTCTGAACAGAACCAAGGGGACACTGCGTGGTTTAAAATGAGGAAATATGTGTGTCGGGGTTGTTTCCTGTCTCTATACCTATTCAATATGTGTTCTGAGCAAATCCTTTGAGAAGCGGGACTCTCTGAAGAAGGCAGCAGGATCAGAGGACGACTCATCAACACCCTGCATTATGCAGATGACACAACCTTGACACCAGCTACAGAAAATCTACCACTTTCTATGTAGACCCAAGAGAAAAACAGAATCTCACCATTAGGCCAATAGGCAGCATCAGGGTAGATGGAGAATGGGTTGAAGTTGTCAGTGATTCATTTTACTTGGATCCACAATCAATACCCGTGGAAACAGCAGTCCAAAAATTAAAAGATACGTTGCACTGGGGAAATCTATCAAGGGCGTCCCCAAAGTGCTGAAGAGCAACAGTGTCCATCTAAAGACTAAGGTGTGCATGATCCAAGCCATGGTCCTTTCAATTCCTGTGCATCTGAAAGTCAGATGATGACTAAGGAAGACAGAAGAACCGATGCCTTTGAGTTGTGGTGCAGTAGCAGAGCACTGAACATCCCGCAGACTGCAAAAGAACAAGTCTGTCTTGAAGGAGGTGCTGGTGCTTCCTTTGGGCATGTTGCCTGGAGGGGCCAGTCCTTGGAGAAAGACATCATGCCAGAAAAGTTAGAGGGTCAGAGAAAGAGGAAAACTCAACGAGAGGGATTATCACCACGACTGTAGCAGTGGGTTGGAGCGTACCAGAGGTGTGAGGATAGGCTAGGCTCAGACCTGTCGTTCACGGTGGGACTGACCCACAGCTGACCTGCAGTGTGTTTTCAGAGGCTTTAAATCATACAGGAGGGGGTTGCTAATCAGAGCAGTTGGTGACTTAGAACCTTGTGCCTTTGGGATGGCAGAGCAGCTTGTTACCGCTAGGCCAGCAGGACTCCCTGTTATCCGTAGGGTCACTATGAACACACCTAAAAACAAAGCCAGTATTGCATAGATTCAGAGCCGACTTGTAACTGAGCCTCCACCCACCCAGGAGGCTGTCCACCTTTCCCAAGAGTGGCCAGTGCTTTTAGTCCAGGAGAGGGGTGCCCATCTGGGTTATCAGAGCAACTCGCTGTGGGCTGAGCCGCCAGAACTCGAGGTGCACAGATATCTGTATACACACACCCCGGGGCCTGTGACTACCCCTGGTAGGAGGTGGGGGTGCTGAGTGGGGCGGCCCCCTCTCTGACACCCGCATGTCTCTCTGCAGTGCTTTGGGCTCCTAGGTGTGAATGGAGCAGGAAAAACGTCCACCTTTCGCATGGTGACCGGGGACTTACTGCCCAGCGGGGGCGAGGTGGTGCTGGGAGGACACAGGTGAGGGATTGGTGTGGGGCCTGGAAACTCTTTGCTCCCACTAACAGGAACTAGGGTGTCCTGAGAGAGTCCCACGTCCCCACACCCCGCGGCCAGGGTTCAGCCATTCCCTTAGCACCCTGACCCCACCCCGCAGCGTGACCCAGGAAACTGCAGCCGCACACCGGTGCATGGGCTACTGCCCGCAGTCGGACGCTGTCTTTGAACTGCTGACGGGCCGAGAGCACCTGGAGCTGTTTGCGCGCTTGCGTGGAGTCTCTGAGGCCCAGGTTGCCCAGGTGAGCAAGCAAGCCCTGACCCCTCTGTCCCTCCCTTCTCCCACCCAGCCAACTGCCCCATCCCTTACTGCCCTCCCAGCATGCAACCACGCCCCTCATGACCCTGCCCATCTTTGGGGCCCACTCCTCCTGACCCTGCTCAGCGCACAGTCCTACCCCTCCTGCTCCACCCAGCCACGTGGCCCCGCCCCTCCTGACCACGCCCAGCACAATCCTGTCCCTTCCAGTATGAGGCCCCGCCTCTGTCATGCCCATCACATGTCACACCCTCTGGGTCTCACCCATCACATGGTCACACCTGAGCCACGCCCATCACATGCCACAGCCTCCGGGCCACGCCCATCACATAGTCACACCCTCCGGGCCACGCCTATCACATGGTCACACCCTCCAGGCCACGCCCATCATGTGCCACACCCTTGAGCCACGCCCACCACACGGTCACACCCTGTGCCATGCCCACCACACGCCACATGCATCACATGGCCACACCCCCGGGTCACGCCCAGCCATCACACTCTGGGCCACGCCCATTGCATGTCACACCCTCCGGGCCATGTACAGTGCATGGTCACACCCTCGCCCATCACATGGTCATGAACCTGCCACACCCATCACATGGTCACGCCCACGGGTCACGCCCATCAGTCTGACCTGACCACGCCTCCTATCTTCTGCCCCGCCCACAGGCTGCACGTGCCGGCTTGGAGCGCCTGGGCCTCACTCGCTATTCAGATCAGCCTGCGGGCACCTACAGTGGTGGCAACAAGCGCAAGTTGGCGACAGCGGTGGCGCTAGTTGGGGATCCCGCCGTCGTCTTCCTGGTGTGTAGGCACAGGGTGGGGGGCAGAACTGGGCCTCAGTGGGCCTGGGCTCATAGTGCCCTTTTCCAGGATGAGCCGACCACGGGCATGGACCCCCATGCGCGTCGTTTCCTCTGGAACAGCCTCCTGGCCGTGGTGCGGGAGGGCCGCTCCGTGGTGCTCACCTCACACAGGTGGGTCACATGGCAGTGCGGGTGGCCTCCAGCCACTGTCCAGAGCAGCTGTGCGGTTCTGACCCGGGCGCAGGGCCGGACGCCAGGGTGCGGGATTCAGTGGGGTAGGGACAGAGGTCCCAGTGGGGAGCAGAGGGGCGCCCTGGCGGGGCTCCAGACCCACCGCGCCTCGCCCTCGCGCTTCGTCCGCAGCATGGAGGAATGTGAGGCACTCTGCACGCGTCTGGCCATCATGACCAACGGGCGCTTCCGCTGCCTGGGCAGCGCACAGTGGCTGAAGTGCAGGTGAGGGGCGTGCCCGGCAGGTGGCTGAGCTGGCCCTCGAGGGCCTGGTGCAGGTGAACCGAGGGGACTGGCTTCCCCACCCCAGGTTCGGGGCTGGCCACACCCTGGTCCTGCGAGTGCCTGCGGCGCGTCCGGAGCCTGCTGAGGAATTCGTGGCAGCCGCGTTCCCGGGGGCCGAGCTGCGGGAGGCGCACGGCGGACTCCTGCGCTTCCAGCTGCCGCCGGGTGGTCCCTGTGCCTTATGGCGCGTCTTCGGCGAGCTGGCGGAGCATGGAGCCAAGTATGGGGTGGAGGACTTCTCAGTGAGCCAGACCACGCTGGAGGAGGTGCCTGGGGCTCGGGGCGCGGGCTGGAAGCAAGGCGTGGGACGCGTCAGTGAGCCAGACCTCGCTGGAGGCGGGGCCCGGGGCCCTCAGGCTGACTGACCCTCCTGTCCCCTGCGCCCGCCCGTCCTCCAGGTGTTCTTGTACTTCTCCAGAGATCAGGGAAAAGGGGATGTGGAGCAGGACGCTTTGCTAAAAGAGGCTGGTGTCAGCATGGACCTCGCCCCACGACAACAGCATCCCAAGCGCAGAAGCTGTTTTCTGGAAGCCGCAGATCCAGTGGAGACAGTGCTCTGAGCCCCTGGCCAGGCGTGCAGTGGGCTTCCAGGGACAATAAAGAGATGAACGATGTATCTGTGTGTACCTGTGTCCTCAGCGCACACCCAGGGCCTGGCACTAGGGTACAGGGTGTGAGGGTGTAGGCCTATGGCACAGAGGTGCCGGACTGGATTCAGGGGTGAGCTGACCATGGCGCTGCTGAGGACTTGTGTCTCCCATGCTGGCGGGCACTTCACCTGACTCTGCCGGTGTCGCAGTGCCTCTGTCCATGCAGACCTGGCGCCCAGCCGTGAAAGGGACGAGGTCGGGGCTCAGCACCCAGTCCTACGGGGCCTGGTGGTGGAACCTGGAGCTGCCCCCTCCACGCAGACCCTGGGGACAGGGAGCACTTGTGGAGAGGGAGCGGGTTCAGAGGGAGGGGCCTCGGGGCAAGAAGAGCTGGGTGCGGCCCCTACCGAGTTGGTGCCCTGTGGCCACTGTGTGTCCTTGTCCACTGCCCGGTGGGCTGTGGCTGTCATACTGCCCTGGCACAACTTTGGGCGCGCTCGGGCTGTGTCAGGGGAGCCTGGCACCTCCCTGAGTCTACAGAGGGTCTCTAGGGTGTGGGCTGGGCACCTGCACTGCCGGGACTTGGTCATCTGTTTGTGTGCCCTGCGTGTCAGGACGCACAGGTGCCCCTGCACCAGCTGCGCCCCTGTGGTCACGCTGCCAGGGCAGAGCCTCCAGCAGGAAGCCGGGCGGGCCGGGGGCGGGGCGGGCCCCCTTCGCGCCCACTCTGCGGAGCAGCAGGCTGAGGCTGAGGAGCAGGGCGGGTGGAGAGCAGGTCGCCTTGTTGCCGCGCGGAGCCTTTTCCTGTGGGGGGAGGGGGGCCGGGCCGTCACGTGGGCCTGACAGATCGGGGTGACGGTGATAATGTGGCCCCGAGGCAGCGGACTTTGGGGACTGCGGCGTTGAGACCCCCCGCCCACCATGTTCTCCAGGAAGAAGCGAGAGCTCATGAAAACCCCCTCCATCTCCAAGAAGAACCGTGCGGGAAGCCCCAGCCCGCAGGCCGTGGGGGTGAGCGGCGCAGGGAGCGGCGGGCGGGACCTCCGGGCGGGACCTCCGGGGAGAAGGGACCAGGGGTTCAGCGCCATGCTGGGGCGGCGGGGGTGGGGGGCGGCCAGCTACAGCCCACTCCGGGCAGGGCTGCAGGGTCCGCGGTGCACTGGAGGCGACGTGAGCGTTCGGCTCCTGGTAAGGGCCCTTGAGTGGCCACTGTGTGCCTGCATCCCTTTGGGGGGCCAGGGGGTGAGGTGGATGCCAGGATGGGGTGCATTAAGACTGGAACATTGCTGGATGGAGGTCTCGAGGAAGTGGAGCTTAGGTGCCCCTGGGACCTTGCGCACTGGGGGGTCAGCTGGAGGGGCTGTTGGGGACAGAGCGTTTATTGGAATTTGTTGTGTTCATGCCAACATGAGTGAAGAACCCCCGAAACTTGGGGGTGCCTACTGGATCTGAAGAGTATCTGTGGACTTTGGGGTGTCCACAGGAATACGTGATCCAGGCCAGCCCCCCGGGGCTTGGTGGCAGGTGGGGCCTGAGTGACTTGTGGGTGTTTCGAGGGCCGAGGTGTATGTGAGACTGGGGTCTTTAGGGCCTTCAGCCTGAGACACCCGCAGAGGTGCCTTCACAGGGAAGTAGGTGAGTCTGTGAGGCCTCCCCACCCCCATCAGGAAGTGGGGTGTCACGTCAGGCCACGCCCCCTGTGGTTTGGGCAGAGACCGTTGTTTGTGAAAGCTCTGGGGAAGAGGATGTTGGGTAACGGGGCGGGGGGGGGGCATTGTCTAAAATCTCAGCCCTGTGACCTCTGGCCTCTGACCCCTACAGACCCCTTTTCATTTCAGGGAAAGTGAGGCAGTGTGGGCCTTTTCCCTCTTCTCCCTCCAGGAGCTGCCCAGAAAAGATGGTGCTGACACGGCCTCCCCAGGATCCGGCCTGGAGATGCTGGCCGCCACCTCCAACCCCAAGACCACCAGCACGCTCAAGCGTCCCACCAGCCTGAGCCGCCACGCCAGCGCTGCCGGCTTCCCGCTGTCAGGGCCCGGCTCCTGGACGCTTAGCCGGGGCCACCGCAGCCCGATGACAGCCGCCAGCCCGGCCGAGGTGGGCACTGAGGGGCCAGGCGCGGACACCAGCGATGACATCACCCAGCTGCTGGCTGACGTGGCCCGCTTCGCTGAAGGCCTGGAGAAGCTCAGGGAGCATGTGCTTTGTGAGGGTGAGGACCCCCAGACAGCAGGCACCCCAAACCCAGTGGGGCCACAGTGGGGTGGGCTGAGGGACTTGAGGCTCACATGGGGTGAGCAGGAAGAGCTGGGTGGAAGAGGGCCTTGCTGCTAAGGCTTTGAGGGATGCATAGGAGTTCAAGGGAAGTAAGTGGGAAAGGCCTCAAGGCAGAGAACAGGCATGCACACAGACCCATAGACGTCGGTCTACACTGCTGTGTGCCAGGGAATGGGGCACTGGGGCCTAAGCTGTCAGAGAACGTGCAAACGCTGAGAAGGGATTCGTGAGCACAGTGGAGTCAGCGGAAGGTGCTAGAGGGGACCCAGGGTGAGGGGCTGGGGCTGGGCTGGACGGGCTGAGGTCTGGGCAGGAAAGGTGCAGGAGGAAGGAGGCGAGCCTGGCATGGGAGCTGCTGGGAGTGGGCTGAGGCTGGTGCTTCCTGTTCTCCACGTGGGCTGACAGCCCTGCTTCCGACCCAGTTATTTTCATCTGCTTCCTGTTTGTCCCTGGCAGCCCAGGCGGGCACCTCATGTTCTGACTGGGCCTTGCTTGTCCTTCCGGAAGCTGTGCCAGGGCTGAGCCAAGCCTGTGAACCTCGCCGTGGTGCCCATTTAACAGATTCAGAAAAGGAGGCCCTGCTCAGCAGAGCTCAGCCTCCTTGGTGCCTTGTGGGTGCTAATGGGCTGTGAGCAGGAAGGGGCTTGTCCAGCAGGAGCCTGAGAGTGTGGCCCCAGGGCAGGCCAGAGCTGCTTTCGGGGACATGGCTAATCTGGGGTCCTCCTCTGTTGGAGTTTCCTTGGAGGCCACAGGCCAGCCCGCACCTGCTCTGCACGTTGAGGAAGTAGGAGGCATGAAGGGTCAAGTCCTGGCTGTGGCCCACCATGTGGCCCTGGGCAGCCTCTGGCCGTGCGCTGAGGGGTCCTCGGGGTCCTTGGGCAAGCTGTCCTCAGCTCTGTGTGAGTGCTGCACTTAGCTCCACCTTGGGCCTGGGGCAACCTCCCAGGAGCAGGCACAGAGCAGGGCTGCTGCACCCACACCCTTCCAGGCAGGCCTGCCCTCAGTTCCCCTGTGAGCCTCCAGGCCCAGCTAATAGGCTAGAAGGCAGGGGTCAGCGCTGAGTACTGGCCTCGGTGGAGGGCGCCCCAACCCCTGACCGGATGAGCCGGACACTGGCACAGAGATAGGTCTTCTTGGCTAGGGGTGGGGTCTCCAGACTGGCCAGAGCTGGTTTGGAGGCAAATGGGCTTAAAAACTCTGATATGCTACATGTCAGGTCTCCCCACCACAGTCCCGCCATGTACAGCCTCACCACCTCGCATCCAGGGTCTGAGGTGAGGTCCAGGGCAGGGCCCACTTCCTCCAGCTGCTGGGACCTGACTGCCTGGGGCGGGGGTGGGGGGGTGTAGCCGGCTGCACTGTGTGCCCAGTGGGTGTCTGGCCCTTCACCTGGGCACCACCTGGTGTGGAGCCTGGGGAGTGTTGGGACTCCAGACTGAGGGGCCTCCCCAGCTGGTCCTACACACACTCTCTGATGTCCTTGGTCCCAGGGCTCAGACACTCGGCAGGACCACTATGTAGGGAGCAGACGGCAGCCAGTTTTCAGTTCCACGTATTCTTCTGAGCATCTTAGGGGATGCACAGGGGGTGGGGACAGCATGCAGACTGACAGGGTCCCAGCCCAGCCTCTTCCTGGGAGAAAACAACTAGTCTCCTCTCTGTCACCAAGATTTCCAGTCTCGGGAGCCACAGGGAGGGATGCCACGGTCTGGCCTGGACTTGGGGCAGCAGGTGTGGATTTTGGGGGTCAGAGCCCCTCAGCCGCCCCAGGCCCCGCTGCATAGGCATCAGCATTGTTCACCCTTCTGTCTGTCTGCCGCCTGTCGCTGAGCTCTTTCCCCGCCGCCCCCCTGCCTGGTTGTGTCCTGTAGGGCGTCCTGTAGAGGGTTTGTCCTGTGACAGGCACACCTGCTGCCTTTGTCCAGCCCAGAGCACTGGGGGAGGGGCGCTGAGAGCCCCGATGGAGACAGAGACACAGACAGTGCTTCAGAGGTGCCCTGTCCATCCTCTGCCTCATTTCCTCCTCTGCAGCGTGGGGGTGATGAGAGCACCTGCGAGTGAGCTGGTGGGGTGCTCAGGCAGGTGGGATGTATGCTCGTAAACACGGGGTGTGCTTGTGGGGTGCAGCCCAGGGCACTAGCAGCCCTGAAGGGCACGCTGTCCACCCCCAGCTGTACCTCAGTTTCCCGCAGAGACTGACGCTCTGAGGAACTGGGCATTTTCTTCCCAACGCCGTCACCCTGTGTCCACAGACCTCCTGGAGGCCCGCCGCCCGCTGGCCCTCGAGAGCCTAAATGACGCCCTACGAGTGATGCGTCAGGTGATGTACAGACACCCTCTGCTCAACACCGTGGAGACCATGCGGGCTGCCGGGAACCTCATCAACAGGGTCAAAGGTCAGCATGGGGAGGGAGCCCGGGAGGGCTTTCTGGAGGAGGGGGCCGGGGGGGGCCTTATATGTATATTCTAATATGTACTGGTGGGTGTATCTATCTAAGAAGCTCTGGTGGCCTGGTGATAAGAAGCTGTGCTGCAATCCCAAAGGCATGTAGTTCAAATCTACCAGCTGCTCCCAGGAGAAGGATGGTCAGTCTCCTCCTTGGGGCTTTCCTGCCTCTGAAAACCCGCTGGAGGGTCAGCGATGGCCCCTTCTGACCTGACGGCCCTCAACAGGAACACCTTCATGTGTAAACAGCCCTGCTGACTGGCCTGCTCTGGACAGAAAAATGGACAGTGTCCTCCTGGAAAGACCAGGCCTCAGACACGCAGCGGGGTGCAGCCACCCTGAGGGCAGTGGGTTTGACTGGGTTTGGCTATTCTGTTTTTGGGGGGTTTAGGCCTGTTGTCAGGAGGAGTGAGTCCCTGTAAAAAGGCGGCCTGCTGGGAACCGTGGCGATCAGACCCTGGACTGACGGAGTGACTGAGTGTGGCCGGCAGTGGACTTGAGCGTGGCGGAGGTGGTGAGGGCGGCCCCGGGTGGAACTGCGTTCACTCTGCTCTTCGTAAAGCCACTGTCTTGGTGCAGTGATGGCACCTAACAGCAACAACCTTTATGGAGGAGCAGGCACCCCACGGCACAGCGGTTAAGCACTTGACCATGAACTGTTAGAGCCCACGGTCTGCCCGTTGGGATGTACAGCCTTTGCAGGCCCAGGAATCGGCTCTGTGTCCTGGAGGCTCGGAGAGGCCGTGCTGTCTACACGACAAGGTGTGGCCGTGCTTGAACGTGGACGTGACAGAATGTTCGCCTGGTCAACGTCTGTGCATGGCCAGAGTGGCTTCTGGGCTCTCGCTGGACCGTGTGGGCCAGGCCCCCACCTCCTCGCTCCAGCCCTCGTGACCGCTGAGAGGGTCTCTGACGCCTGGGTATTCCACGTCCAGAGGGCATACAGCAGGTGTCCTTTTCGTGTCTAGTCTGTCACAAAGCGTGTGGTCAGGACTCATCCAGACAGGCGCAAACTTCACAGCTAGGATAGACCGCTCGCTCGTCCCTGCCAGACCATCTGTGGACAGTGCTGGCCGGCTGAAGCCCAAGGTCCATGTGTGCAGCCATCCAGTGGAAAACAACCGAGTGAGCGTGGACATTGTCGAACAACAGTTGATAAGTTAATGTTGACTATCACAAGTGAAATTCTGCTGAAGGTAATGACATTTACCATCATTGCTTCAGGGCAGGTGACTTGATGGCACATAACAACCTCAACAGGAAACTGCCAGAAAGTCACACCAGAATCAGAAGAGGATGTGGAAGGAGAGACATCGCTGCTGACTCAGAGAATATCAGAATCAGAGATAGGAGAAAGGGGAGTGTGTGTTATTGACCACACAAGGGCTTTTGACTGTGTGGATTATAACGAATTATGGGAAACGTTGAAAGAATGGGAATCCAGAATTCATGCAAAACCTACCCTCAGAACAAGCAGTTATCTGAACAGAACCAGGGAACGCTGCACGGCTTACACCGGGGTTGTGACCTCTCTCCACACCCATTCAGTCTGTGTGCTGAGCAAATCACTGAGCAAGCTGGACCCTGTGAAGAGGAACGTGGTGTCGGGATTGGAGGAGACTCCCTGCACTGAGCAGGCAACACAGCCCTGCTTGCAGAAAGAAGACCTGAAGCACTTGCTGCAAAAGATCAAAGAATACAGCCTTCAACTGTCACCAAGGACCGCCAACATGGGCTGCGTTTGCACCAAAACCCTGAGGAAGGGGCCGGGTCGTCACTGAGAGACGTCCCACGCGCCTGGGTAATGACGTCCACACCAAGCGCGTGTGCGAGGAGATCACTGCCATTCCCAGCCAGAGGCTCCGGAACAGACAGCAGCCGTGTCCCTCATCCCATGAAGCGGGTTCAGGGGGCCTGTGAGGGCGTCTCCATTGAGCTGCAGGACGAGGAGAGAGAAAGGAGAGATAATCACACACCAGAGGTTTCAGCCCTGGATCACTGAACCAGATCCTGGTGCTGAGGAAACACTGAAGCCCTTGGACTTTGTCCGTCCATCCGACCTGCAGGTCACTCAGCCCACAGCTGGGATGAATTTCAAAACGCCACGTGGAGCCACTTGAGTCTGTCTGCTGTGCTGTAATATTTACTGTTAACTTGGGTACACACAAAAACAAAGAATACATCCTTCAATATGGATTACATCTCAACATCAGGAAGCCGGAATCCACACCACTGGACCGACAGGCAGCATCATGGTCAATGGAGAAATAACTGAAGTTGTCAGCTGTTTCATTTTACTTGGGTATAAAGATTAATTGCTCTGGGAAAGCTGCTGTCAGGAACCTCTCAAAAGAGCTGAGGAGCAGGGAGCTCCGGTGGCCTAGTGGAAAGAAGCTGCACTGCAGTCCTAGAGGTGCACAGTTCGAATCCACCAGATGCTCTGCTGGAGAAGGAGGAACAGTCT